TTCTCCAAAGTTTCGCCAGTTTTTTAATATAACTTTAATATAGTTTCAGCAGAATTTCGCTTTTCGGCAAAACGCCATCTTGCCTAAACCCCTAGGTTTCGGCAAGCAACCTTAGTCACATACAAGGGTAATGGAAACCTTCTTACTCTTGAAGGAAATATTTCTCAGCTAAATCAGGAATGGATATTTGTTCCTTCTAAAACTAACGAGCATGCCATTCAACTTGTTCAACATAGCAATCAGTTTGCAAATATTGGAAATAATGGATTTATTATTGCTAGTACTAAACAATTGGAATGGATATTTGAAGAAAAATAAATGTTTTTTACTTATAATGTAACTGAATGAATTTGTATATTTTTTTTTGTATCAAATATACAGTATATATATATTTTGTATCTACTTAAAACTAGAGTTAGACAATTACTAGAAATAAAGCGCAATTAACATAATTTCTTCAATTTCGTAAAAATAAAATTCTATAACCTGTGGCAAAAAACCTACAAATTTTAGTGTGGTACTATTGTCAAGATAATTGGTCCGAAGTAAAATGAAGGACTCTAATTGTTTCAACAAGCGATAAAAAAATTACATAGAAATATTGATGAGAATTTCGCCCATCTCTATTTTCTTTTTGTATTCCTTCATAATTACTGCAGTATAGCCCACTTTATTCACCTCTTCGAGGGTGAATGTACCACCCAAAAATAATGAAAAATCAGTTGCAGTAGACAACAATTCATGTACTCTGAGGTCCCACTCCAAACTTTTATCTAACCAAGCGCCAGATCAACAGTCCTCTTCTGACTACTCACAAACCTATTATACTTCTGTCGGCCAGCATAATAATTATTCTTTTGCAGACTTTAAGTTTCAGAGTATACTAGGTGAAGGTCGAAGTGGAAAAATCCTTCTTTGCGAGTTCCGTGGTAATACTATTGCCTTGAAGAGTGCCAATTTGTCGAAAACTCCACTAGATATCGTGGAAGAGATGAAAAAAGAAGTCGAAATCTACAAGATCCTCGCTGATATTCAAGGAAAGTATATCCCCAAGTTGATCTGTTATGATTATTATGGGGTGGTATGAGCTTTGTTATCGGAATGACTATTGTTGGTACTCCATTGTGCAATGATCATAAGTTAACGAAACAGCAAAAGGCACAGGCTCTCAAGGTGTTAAAAAAAATTCACGATCACAAGATCCTTCATAATGATATTTGGAAAGAAAATATTCTGGTTGACAGTAAGGGTAATGTGTTCTTGATTGACTTTGGGATGGCGTCACGGGACGACTTTCACAAAAATAGGACCGTTTTTAACACAGGTCGAAAAGTGAAAAATCAGGCA